TTATTTTATAAGTTAAATTAATTCTCAAAATATGGGTATTGAAGCGGATTGAAAATTTTTCTTTCTGAACGGTATTTAGCGCGGTTGCCAGATGTTTGAAAATTAAAATTCCACTTAATTCATCAGTTAATTAAAATATGTATCGTAGTGTCCAGCGAAGGAGAGTTAAAAATGATAAAGCTTGAAAATACTTTTGAAAAGGGCTGCCACCTGTTTCAATTAACTAAAAAGTATATGAAATATAAAAATACCGTAGTCAATGTTATGATAAAGTTTTATTTTCTTAACTAAGAACTTTTTTCGCCGGTATAGGGTGATTTGAAATTCGATGAAAATAAAAACATACACTATGCGAAACTGCTCTTCACTCAGAAGCGACTACACGGTTTTGATGAAATATGGCACTCGGATCTCTTATAACTCTGACTAACATTTGGAATATTTTTTAAGTTTTTGAAACTCATTTTTGGGCGTATTAACGCCATGCGGGTTCAATAGCTACTTTTATTATTTTAAGGTTAATTTACTATGGATAAAAAGCTGATATTCAAAAAATAACTTTTATTTTCAGAGTAAAAAGTAAAACTCAAAAAAAAAAGACGATAAGTTTCCGAGCAAAAAACTACCGATCTTGTGATACTTTTTAATAAATTTGTAATCTCAGTACGACTTCTTAGCAGAAACTTTAATTTTAAGACGGCAGGGATTATCGTCATGAAATGCACATCGAACAATTGCAACAACAATTTTATGGGTCACCCTAATACATACATGCATACATGTGGATGTATGCAATTATGACTACAAGCATAAGTAACAAGAAATTATAATTGGATGTCATTGCTGATTTTCAATTTAGTTGTTCATTATACCCGAGCGCACTTGTGCACAAGGGTATTATAGCTTTGTTCACATAACGGTTGTTTGTAACAGGCAAAACGAATCGAGATAGATATAGACAATTGTATACATAAATGATCAGGATGAAAAGAGAAATCGATTAAGCGGTGACTGTCTGTCCGTCCGTCCGTCCGTCCGTCCGTCCGTCTGTCCGTCTGTGCACACGATAACTCGAGTAAAAATTAAGATATCTTAACGAAACTTGGTACGTGTACTTCTTTCGGGCGTAGGACGGATGGTATTGAAAATGGGCAAAATCGGACAATAACCACGCCTACCTCCCATATAACGGTAATTTTCTGAAATACGAAAACTGCGATATTTTGGTAACTACTGAAGATTATTCACTCAAAATTGATATTTGCAATAACTTTTAGACGAAAAATAAGAATATTAACATTTTTTTGAAAATGGGCGTAGCCACGCCCACTTATGGTTACATGTGTATATCTTGGCAACCGCTGCACCGATTTCTTCCAAACTTGGCACAGTTATTGGCCTTGGTACAGGATACCAAATGGCCGAAAATTTTAAAAATCGGACAATAACCACGCCCACATCCCATATAACGGTAATTTGGAGAAATACGAAATCTTCGATAAATCCGTAAATATTGAAGCTAATTTATTCAAAATTGATGCTTGCAACAATTCCTTACCAGGAAATACGTCTATAATAAAATTTTGAAAAATGGGCGTGGCACCGCAAGGTGAAAAGGCATATATGTAATACTTGCGCCGGGTATTTAATGTTCGGCCCCGCCCGAACTTAGACTTTCTTACTTGTTTTAATTTAAGTTTGTCGGCCGAACAAGTTCATTCGATTGTATTTTGCCTATTGGGAACGCATTGACAAATTAGCCACTTAAATAAGGAAAATACATATGTACGTTCTTAGGGCACTGCAGCTTTCAGATATCGACCGAAAATATCTATTTTAAATTTATTCAAATTCATTTCCCTTCGAAGCAATTACACACACCTTCAATGACGCGCGAACTAACGTAAAAAATTACGGTGATCATTCAGTGAAATTAGGCTGTGACGTATGTCTGAAATACAAACATAGATATGTATGTTAGCATTTCCTTCAGCTGCTAGACAATTCTGATTTTCATATTTCAAGAGATATGTACTACATAACCATTCGGTTAATGATCTAGTTGAGGCTGCTTTAGAGAGGATCTGAGTTCGAAGTCCACAATTTCCGTTTATTAGTCCCTAAAGTAATAATTTGATGGCACCACAAATCTTGCTAAACTCGCTTGATGCATCGCCAAAAAGCTCCCACTGAGTTCTTTAACAACAAACAATTTTTTCTTGAATACATTTTTTAGTAAATAAATTAATGCTGATCCTCCCCTCTCACTCAGTTCAATATCGATAAGGGAGGCAACATCTACGGGACAGTGCACTTAAGACTGGTTAAGAAATGACGAGCGTCTCTTTGCAATCAGACTTATTTAGGTATCAGGCTTTACTGGCATTGCAGGGATCTGCGCTCCTAATATTTATGTATGTAGCACAGAAGAGGTGAAAAAATGGCTGACGGCAGTTTGATCGCGTTATGCATCAACACGGCAATAAACGGCAAACAAAATCCAAAGTTTAATTTTACCATTTATGACGTTGACAGTTTCGAAATTTACCCAAATAATAAATCTAGTTAACCACATTTACTTGACTACCATCTTAGAACATTTTATAACTTAATGCTTATTGCGATTTGAACTCAAAAAGTTGGAATAAATATCACTTCTAATTCCCTCTATTGCAGCTGCGGCCTAAAGTTTGACTTGATGTGACTTTATTGAATGGCATTAGTGAGCCTCGAGAAGTAGAAAGATATCTCTGAAATACCTATTTATTGAGAAGGCTCCTTCCTTGATCATTTCTTACTAAGTTGTGGTTTTAAGTGGGTCGTAGATATTCCAGTTCTGTCTTCTTCTGCTTTATTGTCGCTGTAACCACCTAAGCGATTTTGGCCGAGTCCAAAACAGAACGTCAGTTGTTTCCCCTCCAAAAAATAGGAGGCCTTCCTCTTCCTCTGTTACCAGCATCGCGACCCCTGTTAAATACTTTCAGAGCTGGAGCGTTTCTGTCCATACGAAGGACATAACCTAGCCAGCGGAGCTGCTGAATTTTAATTTGCTGCACTATGTCTATAACGTTGTAAAGCTTATACAGCTCGTCGTTAAATCGTCTGCGGTATTCGCCATCGTCAACGCGCAAAGGACCCAAAACTTGCATAAAATCTCTTTTTCGAAAACTCCAAGTGCTGCTTCATCAGGTGTGTTCATTGTCCATGCCTCCGTGCCATATACCAGCACGGGCATGATGAATGACTTATAGACTGTGGTTTTCGTACGTCGATAGAAGACTTTACTCCTGAATTGCCTACTCAGTCCAATGTAGCACTTGTTGGCAAGAGTGATTCTACGTTGGATTTCAATGCTGACATTATTATAGGTGTTAATGCTGGTTCCCAAGTAAACTAAATTCTCTACTTTCTCGAAATTGTAACTGTGTACAGAGAAGTGGTTTCCAGACGCGTATGCTCTAACTGTTTGTGTGATGACAGGAGATACTTCGTTTTGTCCTCGTTTACCGCCAGACCCATTCGCTTTGCTTCTCTATCTAATCCCCAGAAGGCAGAACAGATCTGTCTGGTAATGCTGATTTTTTTAATTCCATGACACATTTTCTCTACATAGGACACATTTAGTGCAGAGCCGCTCCTTTATAGTTCAGCCACACATTCATCTTCGTATATGTCCCCATATTAAGGTAATTTCTATCCTAAAGTCTTCCACAAGTTACGACCTAACCGAGGAAGGTAAGATCGCCTAAATTGTCTCCAAGCTATGTGTGAAAATGTATACGGATTGTTTTTTTTTTGTATGGGGAGTGACGCAGTCTAATATATATATTTGTCTATATCTATCTCGATTCGTTTTGGCTGTTATAAACAACCTCCTTCGCCTTATACCTGCTTAGGTGCTTTTTTTCATCCACGGTTGTTTGACTTTAATTGTTATAGAAGTAAAGGCGCAACCAGGCGCAGAAAAAAAAATGTTGAAGCAGGTAAGTAAATACTTAGCAAATACCCACCCTTAATTTTAAAGAGGGCATTTTTAGACATTTTTTTAATTTTCTACCAAAGCTGGAAAAAGGGACGAAAAATAGACTTTTACTCCTTCTCCATGGGAATTATATATGAAGAAAACCCTGTGGAACGTTTCAAAAGAGAACGAAATGCGAAAAATACTTTCGGGAACATATCTAAGAGAACAAAATGGGAACAAAAGTCTCTGGAAAGTTTTGGCAAAGAACAAAACGGGAGTGAAATGCTAAGCAACTCTCGAAGAACAATTTGGGAACAAAAGTCTAAGGAACTTTCTCTCGAAGAACAATTTTGGAACAAATCTTCTCTGAACTACATATTCGCGAAACTAAAGGAAATGAGAAGAAAATTTTTCTTATAGCGTTCGATTAGTTTGAAGTGTTTGAATATAACAATTAATTAAAAAAGACCTAAAACATAATTATGCAAATAAAGTTAACGAAAGACTTAAGACACAAACTTTTATTGCACAGAATATGAAAAATTGTTCCATAAATGGGCAGTTCACCCGAATGATAAACGATCTGAAAGTCGAAATGATCCAGCTTTGTCACGGCTTAGAATTAGCAATCGTGGTTCTCACTGAAACGATTTTTCATCGCAACACGCAGCAGGCCCTCCCATTCTTAACGTAAAGTTGTCAAAACTTATGTTTCCCCTTTATTCTCTAGCAGAACTTTCCCCAGACTTTTGATCTTATTTGATCCTCCTCTTATTTTTTTCTCATTGGAAACGTTCCCGAAAGTTTCGTTCTCATTCTGTTCTTCTTGAAAACGTTCGCGAGAGTTTAGTTCGCATTTTTCCCGTTCAAACTGTTCTCAATACTTTTGCTCTTTTGTGGGAGCGTTCTAGACGGTACAGCTCTCACTAAGAACTAAAAAAAATTATATAACTGTGTAATTAATACAATGATATCTTTAATTTGAATAAATAATAAACAAATACATTTGAGTGTCATTTATTGAAAATTCACTTACCTCTCTCATATCTGTTCTTCCGGCAATGTCAATCGTAGATTTCACACATATATATGTATGTTTGTTTGTATACACTTCATTTGCAGATGTTGAACATTTTTTTTTACAATTCTATTCGTTTGCTTGCAATTGCGATTTCTACGAGTAAATGACTAATTTTTTCATTCACCTTTCAGTACATAAATTTTTGCTTGGCGTTGATGTCTTCTTGCGATTTGGCTATGATTGCCTGTGCCAATACTTATCAATTCTTTTTATTTTTTATTTTTGCAGATCTCGCGTTTGCCAGATTTCAATATTTATTTAGCTTTAACTACATATATTGCACAAATATATTTCTGGGTTTAGTGTTTAATGGTTTTGAATTGTATTTTATGTAATGTGTGCATGGGTTTTCAACAAATCGAGATTTTATGCATTTCAATTATAGAAATTTTATGCACTATATATTTTCATAAATCAATTTTTTTCTCACACACACATATGAAATTGTATTACTAATCAATCGAAAACGCAAATTTTGTTAAAATTTTTCGTTTAATATTAAATGCCACAAAGGTTAGTTTCTATTAGGGATGGGTAGTAGTGGGGTGTTGAAATTCGATTTTTTCCGAATTTCGAACATTGCCCAACCATTCGATCATTCGATTCGAAATTTGGTGGTGCAAATTCAATATAATTCGAATGTTCCAAAAGTTTTTTTGAAGTGAAACTTCTAAAACGGTTTCGAGATGTTTGCGTTAAATATTTAAAACCGAGTCATACAATCTCTATCGTTCGCTCGATTTTCAAAAAGGAGTTAGGTGTCAAATGAAAGCGCTTGTCCTGTAGATGTGTAATATGGTTTTAGTTTTGTGCCATATGTAAGAAAATCAAAATCAAATTATTTAATAAGTTGAATAAATAACCCCAATATGGGTATCAATCGAAATGGTTTTGAATAAACTTTATTTTTTAACTACATTTAGGACTACCTGTTTGAAAAGTTGAATTTAGTTAAAGAAGTGTTGTGCTTAAATACTATGTAACAATTAAAACATTTCGTAGAATATTTTAACCCATTAGCTCCCGCCTTCAAGAAATCCCGCAAAAAGCAAATTTGGAAAATTTTACTAGGGGTCTTCTCAGGCAACAAAAAAAGAAACTAGTTTTTTTTTACAAAAAAATTTTAAATTTTAGTTTCGAATAACAGTTCCTTCTTGGCACAGATTTTTTGTTTCGATGCATTAGATCGAAAAACATGTATTTTTTTACTTGCATTCCTAAGGTAAATGGAGTGCCACACACAGAGTGATGGCAAATTTAGTCAGAAAGAAGAAAGTTGAAGAGTTGATTTTTTGGAAATAAAGATGAAATTGCATTTTTCCCAGATAAACTCGATTTCATCCGAATTTTAGCAACACAAGTTCGAATTCAAAAATTCGCCATTTCCAAGCTCAAATTCGATTAAAATGTCGAATATCGAAGTTTCGACTATCGAATTTACCCATCCCTAGTTTCTGTGCAGATATATGAGGCTGGTTTGTTAATGAAAAATAATTTGCGTGAAGTGCCTTGAAATTATTTCTGCTAATTATTTATATAGGCTATTCCATCGTCACGGGTGGGACGTTTGTACAGCAAAAAATGTGTGCGAGAAATCGCTTAAAAATATTTCAACATAAAATTACGGACTCTGCATAAGACCAAATGTGGAGACAATGAATTTGAGTGGTTTAATTTTTTGATTGCTTAGTGGAAAATCGACCTATCTCGGCAGCCAGTTCGAAAACGCCGTATCTCAGAAAATTTTTCAAGAACGCTCTACTTCAAAATGTGATTGAAGAACGCCCTATTTCAGAATTTTATTTAAAAATACCCTATCTCAGAATTTGGTTGAAGAACGCCCTATATTAAACGGCAATACATTGAAAATGTGCTGAGATAGAAACTTTTTGAATTGGCAACTGAGATAGGGCGTTTTTCAACTGAATTCTGAGATAGGGCGTTTTTAAATCAAATTCTAAAATAGGGCGTTCTTCAACAAAATTCTGAAATAGGGCGTTGTTAAAAAATATTCTGAGATAGGGCGTTTTCGAACTGGCTGCCGAGATGGGTCGATCTTCCACTCAGCCATCCATATAAGGTATGCTGGCCGATTGTTTTATATGGAAAATATGATTAATATCTTCAACAAAAACGAAAAAAGAAATAATAAAATAAATAGTAAAATCTTGTCAAAATGTGAGTGTCGTACAGTTATGATAAGCACTATACAAGGTGTAGGCACCTATCAGAGTGGAATAAAAATAGTTTGCCAAAATTAAAGTGGATTTGCAATCTTACCGTCTTCAAGTCGTACGAAGTGGAACAAGACTGATAGCCGCATAGTTAAATGATTATGCATACGAACATATGTATTTAGAGTGACTTACTTAATTATGCTTTCAGTATTTTATGATGTCTGTATCAGATAAAAAAAAAAATTCTAAAAATTCATTGAGTAAACGTACTACTTTCCTTTTCTTAAAGTCTTGTAGATATCAATTAGTTTCTAAGTCGCATAAACGCGACGGGTCATTAACATAATAATTATAAAATCAAGTATGCACGCACATAAGTATGTACATTAGGGTGGCGCAAAAATGCATGTGAAAAACTAAATTCGGAATTTTAATGCCCTCACCGCCTAAAATTGTTCTATGTAGAAAAAAAACTTAACCAATTATTTTTTTTAAATAAAAAAATACCTAGAGGTCGCTCAAACGCTCAAAGGTTTCCATGTATTTTATATGAAAAAAAAACAAGTTTAGAATTCTTGAAAATAAATATTTTTCGATCGGGAAAACTCTGGTTCTCTTCAGGGGACTTCCAATAACAATACCCAATTATTTACTTAACCATTTTCCATTACTAACACCTTTTTATAGGACCCTTAGAAACCGAAAAAAATGCAATGGGGGTTAAATAAACAACTGGTTATTGTTATTGGAAGTCTCCTTAAGCGAAATGAAGTTATTTTCAAGAAGTCCATACCATTTTTACGAAAACTTATTTCTTCCCATATAAAATTTTGCGCGCATTGAGCGACCCGTAAATACTTTTTGATTTAAAAAAAAAAACAAAAACAGGAGTAACGTTTTTTTCGATATAGAACAGTCCTACGGTGTTAAAACATTAAAATGCCGACTTAAATTTCTTTCTGGACCACCCTAATGCACATACTTGATTAGTTGATTTCTAAATTTTATTTAGTTTGCACTATGTATTTGCAACTGTGCTTTGCAAATTAAGCACATCACGGCATGTGGGAGGATAGTTTGTCAGAAAAAAAAACAAAAACAAATTAAAATACAAAAGCGAAAAACAAACCACAACGCCACGTGTAAATGTGCAATAATTTTAAAATAATATTTTCATGTACTGGATTTGCAAGGAAAAACACAGAGCAAATCGTAAAATATTATTAAATATACATAATTACATAATACCTAAATACATAGATATAGAAAAAAAGTAAATTTTGAAAAGCGCCAAGAAAGTTAAATGTTTGTACAGAACAAGTAGTTGATACGGAAATAAATTTGTTTGCTTAATTAAGGCATGGCAAAAGAAATAAAGAAAAATGACACTGAAGATGTCACAACGCCGAAACCGGTTTGTCTCCAAACCAAATGAGACAAGGGTTGACGGAAATTCGTTGGAAAATATATCAAATAAATTTTTGGATTTTGACTATATAGTGAATATTTTAAATCAAAAAAGTAAACAAAAATGAATTTTCCCTATTACTTGTCTACTTACACAAACAAAAGCAGGCCCTTTAAGGTGCAGGGGTGGTATTTTCAGTGACAGTAGTCGCGAATTCTAGCTTTAATTTAAGTGTCTAAGTAGAAGGCTCTATCACCTTATTTTACTTTGCTAGAGCTTCTCAAATATTGTTGACCTTATTTTTCTCAAAATCTGGAGTTGATGGAATCGTTGTACTTACGGATTCGTAATCAGCAGAAAAAAGTCTATCGAAAACAACTTTAACATTTGCCGCACCAAAATCAGTGTTGCCCTGTGTGGTATTTGTGTCGATTATCGATAGCAACTGAGCTGGGGCGTATTTAGTTCTCGTGTTTTTTTTTTCTCTATCAACTGAAGCACCTCTTTTAAAATTACCGACATACCAAATTTCTTTAATTAAAGTCATTGCTGTGGCGCTTCCTTCTGCGAAAAATCTAAATAAGAGCTGCGCAAGCTTTCTTTTGGAAATCCAGATTATGCTTTGAATCTGAACATAAAAAAGGGTAATAAAAGAAAAACCTTCAAAGCATTAACTTTTGCTTACAGTGCAGGCAGGCTCTCGTGCACTTCTCTCTTTCTCTCTTAAACAAATAATTGTACTGAACTTAGCATTATTGCTGACTTTAGAACTCTTTATTTTAATAATTTCATTTTACTAGCACAGCTTATTTACAACAACTTTTGGTTGGTTGCCGAACTGTCAAATATCGACTATCGATACCCTTTTATAGGGTGGTCACCGTATGGTGGCCTGCGCTAAACAAGACTTTGTCTAGAGTCAAGGTGGAAAACTATCAATAGTGTTCCCACTCGATAGTTTCGATAGTTTAAGTTTTGCACCATCGATGGTATCGTTTCGTTTTCAATGGGTAATTAAGTTTAGAGCTGCACTTTTATATAAACTTTTTCGCTTTTTTTACGTACTTGCATACATATGTATTTAAACGAAAGGCCTTTGCGCCAGTTAATTTAAAATTACATATAATGATAGAGTAGTGGAAATAGAGAAAAAACTATTGATCATATCATAAAGACTATGACAAACCACCGAGTGTATTTTTGCCATGAAAAACCGCTTCGCATAGAAAATACAATCGCCGTGCGGAGTCGGCGTACGCCACAAATCGCAGGCGAAGCTCGGCCAAACACTAATATACGAATGAGTAAGCGCCAATTTATTATTATTATAATATGAAAAAAATATTTCATTTAAATTTTTGAAAAAAAAGAAACGTTTTATAAAATATATACCGCTTAGACTTTGTTGCTCTTTTTCAATTTTTCCTAATAAACAATCGTGTTACAAAGCTCAATAAAAATATTAAAAATAAAATGTTAATAAGCCACAATAATATTGACAATATCAAGGGACTTCTACTTTTTAAAAAGTATGTACAGAGAATTTTGAAAATTTTATTGCTCATTTTAGATACTCATAATGTTGTTTTGTTTAATGAAAATCTTGATTACTCGATAAACTTAACTTTTCATTTAATCTAATAATTGAGGTATTTACGTTAATTAAAATTTTGTATCAT